TTGCTGATTTGCAAAGCCAGGCAGAGTCAACAGCATCGACCCCTGGCAAAGGTTCTCAGACCACAACGCCAGGTGCCAAAGGGCCACAGGGCGGTAAGCCAAAGGGCAGAGGCAGATCCTGAATGGCACTCTGCAGAATTTTCAGAGGATCAAGCTATAATTCACTTGACCTTGCATGTTTCAGTGGGAGCCTTGAGGTGAAACCCTGTCCCCCAATTTTATTTCACCTCAGCTGCAGCTCCAGTGATCATGACTCTTCAAGTTGTAAGGGCACATTTGAAATTTCTGAACAAGCCCTTCAACTTTCTCATAGACCACAACTCCCCCTTACAGGGTCTATGGGAGAGGGGAGCATGATCCTAATACCTTTCAGGTCAAGTGGTAGCCAGAATGTTCTCTCAAGGATCCAGAGTACAAATCCACAACAGGAAGTAACAGGGTTTAGCCTAGTCCTTCAAAAAGGTCTTAATAAGGCTATGCACTCATTACATGGTAACACAATGTTGAGATTGGATGCTGATCATTCAAGTTTATTTGGAAGGCTTCAGTTGAATCTTTATGAGAGTTTGTTTGGAAATAAACACCCAGCAACATATCATGCACAATCTTCGGACAGAGCTTTCCAGCATAGTCTTGCAACTTATAATCCCCACTTGGCCCATTCTGTTAGCTTATCCCCAGATCACAACGCTTCTAGTTTCACCAGACAGCAACTTCTTTCCATGAGACCTCCGCGAGTTAGTGATTTCCAAGCCCCCATTGTGACCACAACTCCAGTACAGTGCATCGCACATTCCGCCTCGCATCCTAAAAGGACGGGTAGGAGGAAGCAGCTCTTTGACCATTCGGGCAACAAGGTTTTTTGGAAGCACAGGCCATCCAAAGCCAGAATTAGGGAATTAAGTAATTCACAACCTTGCCGACCACCGCCTCCACGAGGCGCGCCGGGAGCTCCCTTGGGGAGCCACGAAGAGTGTCACCACATTGGGAAGGGAACAACAGCATTGGACCGTGGGACCAGCCAGCGACAAGCCCAACGCAGGGCATACCGCAGCTGGTTAAGCCAATGCAACAAGGACAGGCTGAAAGGGCTGGGCCCCCTTAACCTGGTTCCTAACCTGCCCAAAAGAGCCACTCAAACCAGAGCAGAATGGTTTCGCCACACGTTTTTCTGGCAAGAAAAACTCAAACGCAGAAAGGCTCGGAAAGTCAGAAAAAATGTGACCACAACGCCGTTGGGGTTTGATAGTAGTCTTAAGTTTGGAGCTATTAACGTTCAGGGTTTCGCAGACACCCTGAAGTTGAAAAACTCCATTCAACTGATGGAAGAACATAAGCTTGATGTGCTCCTACTATCAGAGAGTAAGTCTACTTCTTATTATTCATACCTCTCTGAGCAATATCTAGTCATACTGTCAGGGAATAACAAAGATAAACATTCAGGGGTTGGTGCCATCATCTCACCCAGGATCAGACCATTCCTCCTAGATGTTATACAGGTTAACGCCAGAATTATTCACCTATGCTTTAAAAAGAAGGGGGGCAACATTCACATCATAGGTGTGTATGGACCTCACTCAGGGTTACAGTTGGAGGCCGAAAGAATCCCATTGGGATACCTTGGAGGAGCACATAGCAAAGATCCCACAGCCAGAGCCAGTCTACATTACAGGGGATTGTAATGTTAGATTCCAAGCTAGGCATAGACATGATGAGGGTGTAACAGGACCCTTTGTTTATGGGAAAGGACCTCGATTCATCGACCACAACGCCAACTCTAACAGGTCTCTTTGTGTCGGAGCCCTGCAGAGAATGGATATGCTGGAGGTTGCATCGTATCGTACTCCAAACCCTCTACATCATATCACATACAAGGATAAGGCTGCCCCCCCCAAAGGACTGGTCACAATTCTTGTTGGATCCTTTAGTCATGCAGCAGGTATATGATGTGCTACATCATAAACTTCAAGACACGGCCTTGCTGGCAGCCTCCAACATCAGGTCTTATCTTGAAATGGACTCCTTGCTTCCCCCACCTAAAACATTGCCACATACTGATCCCACCCTTTTTCAAAGATTGGATCACACTTTTACCAGGAAACAGTGGCTCAACACTGTCAGGAAGTGTAGATCCAAGCTCTATACAGGGTTTCCTAGCGATCATTACCTGTTGGTAACTGAGGTACAGGTAAGGTTAGCAGCAAAATCCCCAAAGCCCCCCAAGCCACCTGCCCTCAGAATCGATTTCACAGAAGCCTCTAGAGCGACATTCAATGCCATTGTTCAAGATTTGTGGGCAGAACCCCAAGACTCCTCTGACCACAACGCCGCGGTTCCAGTTCAGGGTCCCAAAGTGACAGTATACACGGATGGATCGGGCAGTTACAAAAACGGTCAAGAGTGGACCGAAGCTTCTGGACCGGTACACACAGACCCACAACACCCACAATATTATGGGGCACAGGTAGGCTCAAACAACACGGGAGAACTCACAGCCATTTTGGAGGCTGTTATCTACGCCGCAGGGGAGCATTGGGCCACTGTCACCGTCAAATCCGATAGCCTCTGGGCTATTAATGTCATTACGGGAAAATGGAGAGCCAAGCACCACAAAACCCTGGTCAACCACATCAAAACCATTATCCGTGCCATTCCTACTAGGGTCATTCTGCGTTGGGTGAAAGGGCACTCAGGGTTGGAAGGAAACGAAAAAGCGGACAAACTGGCAGACATAGGCAAGGCAAGCGTCACGCGGACGGGCACAAGCGCCACCTTCGAGCATGAAAATACAGGCCACAGCTCCATTAAACAATCAGTAGACCCGGCCACTACACTTCTCGAGGCCTCTAAGCAAACTTTTCTTCTAAGAACGCTGCAGCAGCGACGCCCCTGGATCAGCCAAAACACTCTAGACGCACTGGAAAAAGCTAGGCATGCGGAGGCGAATCAGGACCACAACGCCAAGCAACTACGTAATCAGGCCAAAAGGTCTGCCCGGAAAGACAGGATAAATTGGATACACGCCAAGCTTACGGAGGACCCCGGCCATAACCAAAAAAGCATGTGGCAGGCGGCAAAATCACAGAAGCGGGGCTTTCAGGGCAAAAAACGACATTTGGTGGTGGATAACAAGGCAGTACCGTGGTCAAAAACCCATGAAGCTTTCCGGGATCATCTCGAACGGGTTCAGTGGAAGAAAGCTGACCTGGGGGAGGAGCAGGTTAACACTCTGAACGCCAGGCCTCAGATAAGGCGCCAGGTGCGTGACCGCAACCCATTTACGATAGAGGAACTTCAGACTGCCTTGCAAAAACTTAAGAAGCAGAAGGCTCCGGGACCCGATGAAGTGCTTAACGAACTCTTCCTTCTGCTTGATGACCACAACGCCCTCACCCTTCTAAAATTTTACAATAAAATATGGGCTTACGGCGACGTCCCCGACTCCTGGAAAGAAGCTATCGTAGTCTCTATTTATAAGGGTAAAGGGAAGGATGTCGACCCCGCTAATTACAGGCCTATATCCCTGCTCAACTCCATTTATAAGCTATTCGCAGCTATGCTACAATCCAGGCTGGCAAAAAAGCACGAAACACACCTTAGAAGTACGCAGTATGGGTTTAGGGCTAAGAGGGGTACGGCCCACCCATTGTTTATACTTAGACGGGCTATGGAATGGTCGGAGATGACCGCTAATCCCCTCCACCTTCTCTTCTTGGACTGGAAGCAAGCTTTCGACTCTATCGACCACAACGCCATGCTAGTAGCATTGAAGAGATTTGGAGTATCGGAGAGGTCGCTCAGAATCATAAGGGCACTGTATCAGGACCCCACATTCTTTACCAGTGGACTTCATGGGGATATCGCCAAGGGGAAAGTAGGTTCAGGTATCAGACAAGGCTGCCCCTTAAGCCCATATCTTTTTGTCATGGTTCTTACGGTCATATTTGAGGACATGGATTGGGGCCTGCTAGGTAAAAACATAGCTACGAATACCTGGTCCGTCGGCAAGCCCGTGTACGACCTTGAATATGCAGATGACAGGCTGTTAATGGGCATGACCACAACGCAGCTACAGGCTTTCCTCACAGAACTAGAAGAGCAGTCTAAGCTATATGGCATGCATCTGAACCAGACAAAAACAGAGCTACTCGTAGATCCCCGCAGGCTCCCTCCCCAAATCAAGTTCTCAAATGGCACGCCTGTACCGACCACAACGCAAATTAAGTATCTAGGCTCCATGATAGCATGGGTAAAACCTTTCGACGTCGCATTTAAGCACCGTGCGGGTTTGGCAGAGTCCTCGTACAAAAAATTAAGATTAGTCTGGAACAGTCCGCTAGCGTACAGAGAAAAGCTCAAAATCTTTCAGTCCGCTTTTATAGGCACACTGGTCTATGGCTTTCATGCTCTCACCCTCCAACAGAAACATCTTAAGCGTATAGATGCCTACTACATTCGGTTCCTCAGACGGATCGTAGGGGTTAAAGCCTCGTACTATTCTAGAATTACAAATGTGGAAGTATATAGGCGCGCAGGACACCCCAGAAAGCCCTCCGACACCCTCCAGAAGCTTCAAATCAATATGCTCAAACAGGTTTACAGTGACCCGCTTCATCATGTTGTGTTCAGCCCGGCTTTGAAAGATAGGATTCAGGCCACGGGACGTAGACGCGGGGGAAAGATACCCTACTGGCTAGAGACCACAACGCAACGCATATTCCCTGACATATGGCAAAACCATTCTGCTAATAGTGTGCTAGGACCAAATGTAATTTACATCACCATCAAAAGATCCTTGAGAGAGCATGCAGAGATGGCGCCTATGCGCGCAGCGTTACCGCGCGCCCGGCATTAGCAAAAAAACCCCAAAGCCTGGACCCTAAACCTTAAAGGTTGTTACAGAAACCCTAAAAATTCAAAATAGAATCAAGGGAGTAAAGCCGGGATGAGTGGTTCGGGTCTAGGCAACAGGCTTTGGGGATTTCACAAAACAGGGGCCTGTATGGAAGGCTACATAGGGTCGAAAGAGGACTACAGGGGTCCCTGCTTTGGGGATCATGTACGGATTCTTTTGAGACACTCCCGCGTGAGGCTAATGCAGGGAGGATGTACGGAATATGTA